GTTCGTTTTTCTTTTTTAAATTAGGATAGCGGGTCGAGTTGGGATTTGGGCGGGTCGTAAATCGTAATTACTAATAGGAAATTAGAAATTGACAAAAATACCAACAAAATGACAAAATTATTGAATTTACAAAATTGGAATTTTGGATAAATTTTCAGAAAATTCAATTTTTTATTTTTTATATTTTTTCGCCGGTCCGGTTTGGTTTTAAACCGTAATTAAATTTCTCAAACCTAAACCAAACCGTTTTTGACCAGTTTGGTTTGGTTCAAAACCATTTCGTTGACGAGTCCACGTGCCACCAAACCGCCGGTTTCGAAATTGCGGTTTCGGTTCGATTTTTCGGTTTGGCGATTTTTGCTTACAACCCTAATGCTAATTTCCAATTTGAGATTAAGAGATTATACTTTAGGAAGTGATGTTAGAGAAAATATAAAAATGGGAACATTCCATACAATAGAGAATAAATAAGCATAAGGGGATGACCATCAAATAGAAATATCCTTCTCTAATCATTAATAATTTGGCCAATAATAAAAGCTCATTTAGGGTGTGTTAGATTGGAAAGTTTTCCATGAAACATGGCATTTTCCACACAAATTCCAACCTTTTGAGTGTTTAATTGCTATTTTTTTATGGAAAATATTTTCCAACATTTGAAAATAGGGAAAAGTTCAAAAGTCAAGGATTAACTATATACAATTCAAAATCAAGTTTTAAGTTTAACTAATACAAAAATCAGGTTTTAGTTAATTAATTAAATATAATAAAATCATAGTTATATAATTAATGGTCACATATATATAATTATAGGTCACATGTCACATATTGTAACATTAATTGATCACAGATTATTTCGAGGTCACAGATTAAAAATTTTGTACGTTACAGATTATTTCGAGGTCACAAATTTTTAAATTAGTTGGTCATAGATTATTTTTGAATCACATATTATTAAATTTTTAGGTCACATTTGAGTAATTGGTCACATATTACCCAACATTTGGTCACAGATTACCAAACATTTGGTCACAGACTACCGTCACTACCATTATGGCCACTTTCGACCACCTTCACCACGCTGCCACCGCCACAACAACACCAACAAAGCCACCGACAACCACCTCCACTACCAAACATTACCAACAGAAACGCACCCACAACCCACACCTCCACCTTTGCCACCGCCACAACCACCTCCACTCCACCACCGTTGAAAATCACATTAGCATGAAAACCACCCCGTCGCTCTAAATATCTTCGAGCAACAGCAAATCATGCACACAGCACCACAAACCGCGACACCGACATGAAACCAGAGTGGGAACAAGGCCCTGCCGTCGATGCACTGCCTTAGATCCACCACACGGATTCCCACAACCACACAGAGCAGATTCACCACATGCTGTGAACGACAGCAACGTCCCGTTCACAGTAGCATCCCGTTCGTAGCAGATCGTCGCCTACACCAACAAGTTGGAAACCTCAGCCACACCCACACCTCATCGAAGACATCCACTGCATCTAAGACCTCCACCGCACACACAACATTGAAGACCTCCACCCCACATCACCGCATCGAAGATCTCCACCCCACATCACTGAATCGAAGACCACCGCACCGCACACCCACAACAGTGGACGTTCAACTGCGGTGAACGGCAACGACTGTAGTGGACGGAGGTATCGAAAAACGGCTGAAGGGAGTGGATGTTTCACCTGAATGCTTCTGGTTGGCGATTTCTTGCCACCGTTCGCAGCAGCATTACGACGCTGTGAACGGCAGCTTCGGACGGCTTCTGGGCAGTTCTAAGAGACGGGAGGGTAATGAGAGAGAGATGAGTGGTGAGGAATTGATAAGTTAAGGTTTTAAAAGATTAATTATTTAATTAAAATGATAAAAACCTGAAAAATGAAAAAATAAAGTCAAAACCTGATTTTTGAAAACGTCAAAACTAAAGACCTGGTTTTATGTAATTTTCCCTTGAAAATATGCCGAGGTTTTGAGCCAATCCAACCGTCTCCGTCTTAGCTCAGCCCTAGCCTCAATGGCAAGAGTCGTTTGAGTATCTTGATTGACTATACTATTTATTTATCTTCAACTAAAAATCAAATTACTTCTTACACTTTTGCATATAAACTGTCATCATGAAAATCTAGAAGTAAACATAAGAAATAACACAAAGTATAAAACCGCATATCAACAATAGCTTGCAGCTTGGGGTATTGTTTACAATTTACAATCTAGACAAAATTGCATTACGAAAAGTTTTGATAAGTTCAATAAGTATTATAAGTCGATTACATCGACCTATTGCCCATAAATAGTTGCATTATGAATAGTTGATTATAGAAACAGAACATGTATACCAAATGCGGAAACTGCAAAGAGCACACAGATAGCAAAGGCTGAGTGCCACAAGGACCGAAAAGAAGAATGCTATTGGGCAGAAGGCTTGGGATAATTTTTGAGTGTGCACAATCAAAGCTTGTAGGAACCATTTGGAAGAGTTATATAATCTTTCGTAACACTCTAGAATGGTACATAGCCTTACGAGAAAGGCCAAGTGTAGAGTATTCTACCACAAGGACTTAAAGAAAGGTTTAGAGAATCAATGGCAATTGTAAGGTAAGATCGATCTTCAACTTCCAATCGAAAGAGTTGAAAGTATAAATAGAGAACGAGTCTATCATTATATTCTAGATGAGAATTATAAGGGAAGATTACATATTCAAGAGTATAAGTTTAGTCTATTTCAAAAATAAGAACACCAGTTTAAAATTACCAAAATCAGATTTTTTAAAATTTTTTTTAAATTTCTATTTATGAAATAATAAATTATTAAATTAATTTATTATTAAATATTTAATTATAATATAATATCATTAACCCATCCCACCTTCACCATCCCTACCGCTCCGATGACCGTTCCGATCACCGCCCTATTCCGGCGAACTTTCCGACGATCGTTTCGGCGACCATTCCGGCGTCGATTTTTCCGGCGACTGCTCCGCTATATTTTTTTATACGGTTAACATGTTTTTTACGGTCACAACCCAGGTCACAAGTCACATATCATAAGTCACAGCCTATGTTACAAGTCACAGCTCAGGTCATAAGTCACAAGTCAAGAGTCACAGCCCATATCACAAGTCCTAGCTCAGGTCACAAGTCATAAGTCAAGAGGCATAGCCCAGGTCACAAGTCACAAATCAAGTCACAGGCCAGG